ACCTCGCGTTTGCTCAACAAAAATACGAAGAATTACTTGATCAATGCCGAGGTTAATAGAAAGTCGGTCGTGGGAGTTGCAAAACCTTCTATTGACTATGATGTGGTCTATTTCATCTTTGTACTCTCCATTGGGGGTCTCCCACGTCCAGCGCTGAGAATGTGGATTCTAGAATTGCGAGTTACAGTGAATGGTATTGGTGGTTGTGATAAATTCGGACATCCACTCACTCTACTGGTCCCATTCTAATCCGTGGGTACCAATGTGACGTTCTTCAGACGTTCTTGGTCCAATCTTTGCGTTAAAATCTCCAATGATGACCTTGAAGAATGTATGGTTTTCACTGTAGAACTTCACCAAGTCCATGTATATCTCTTCGTCTTTGTCTTCATCTTCGTTATAGCTTGATATCGGGGCGTAGGCGACGACAAAGATGGTCAGAGCCGGTGTTCATCCAAATGTTGTCAATCGTAGACATCCGATAGTTGTTAGTTGTTCAAATGGTTCGATATTCGTGGCTAATCTCGTGCTAACAAGAATCCCGACGTCGCCAGCGATGCTGAGTCCTGTACTGTCGCATATTACGGGGAACAATTCTTCTCCGATGTCATAGACGACGTTGAATGGGTGGCGTCTTCTTGTCTCCATCACTCCGATGACATCGTGCCTTACCCTTCTTGCCCGCGTGATCAAGTCTTCTATCGACTCGGATGCAAGGGTACGTGGATTGTAGGTACAGATCGTCACCATAGTTCTTTGAAATTCAGGTAGCTTCCGTTGGTCCTGAGATCCTAGCAGCCTCTCCGTACTCTTCCTACCCAACGCTGCGAAATTAGAGGCTCTTTCGGGTCAGAGAATGTATATACTTCAAGTATATACAAATATAGATATGTATATGTATGTATTAACATCGAGCTCTCATGTTCACACACATGATGCTTCCAGTCGAAATCGCTTTTGGTCCAAATATCTTTGTGTATAAACGCCTGACTTGTTTAACGTGCGATTAATTTGAAGAAATTAATATTCATAATAGTGCTTGTGAGGACTATATATTCATCTCCTATACTATCTCATACTCCGGTCGACATTACTGCGGGCAACATAAAGGGCTTTTGTAAACAGCATTTTCTTGTCTTGGTCGATGCAGTGGCATCGTAATATATCTTCGCAGCTTACTTTAGTCGGGGTTGTGTGCATATATCGCTAGAAGTGTTCGTGATCACAGTCACCTCAAAAGAGTTGTTAAATAGTGCAGAAAAAAAGGTTTTTTGTCTATTTTCTAGGCTGAATCCTCATGTGGCGGTTGTCATACCAGCAAAGAGTATTGTTGCCGGAGGTATTCATATTGATGTGAAAGGCGAAGGGTTTTCATTGTTGCAGAGACCAAGATTAGTACTGGTTAGTGATCGGTGAGTTATTGTCTTCAGCTCTGTTTTCCTTTTAACGTATTTGCGACCATATTTCTTTGTTTCGACACGCATACTAGAGGGAAAAGGTTTGATCTTCCAAATTTGAAGGAAACATTTCTTCGGTTGTAGTAAACCTCTAAGATTGAAGTAAAGACCATTCAGTTCCGAAGAACTTTGCCAAAAAAACTGCGGCTTGTCGTATTCTATGAAGAAGAAGTTCCAGTTTTCTGCAGCCCATAGAATATTCTTTTTCCTCCGTTTTTTTTCCATCAAAAATCATATAGAATGACGAAAGGATTAAACAAGGAGCGTTTTATCCAGTTGGATCTAAGAAGTCTTCCAATGTGTTATTGAAGTTTTCGTCACCACGGTTGCACAAAAATTTACAAAAATATGGTTTCCTTTCGTTCTTTTTTCCAAGATTTGGATTTTTGACAAGTTTAAGATCAATTTATGTTGAGAGATCGTTTGTATCCTTATATATATATATCCTTAGGAAACCAAATTTAACGACAAAAATGACAAAACAGATTTCCTGCTAATAATCTACGGTCAAATTCTCAACTCTTGTAGTCTTCGTTTATCGAAAAGCCAGCATCATTACGAATGTATTAAATAATTGGCGCTTCCAATCGGAATCATAGTCTGTTGGAAATTTGGATCTGTCATTTGGATTGCGGTTCGGTGAGTTAAAATTTGCAGAGGCGTACGAGAATCCGGGCCGGTGTGCGATGTCGAAGATGATGGACTAATGATATGTCTCACACCTGGTTTACCGTCAGGGGATACTGGTGGACGACTACATCATAATTTTGCGTTCGACTTCGATGGCGCTATTACTGAGTAAGTTTGATTTCGGCGGTCCGGCAGAATATTCTGAAAACTTGCTTTAGAAGTCGACAATTCGAGGTGTATCAAAATCCCAGTGTTGACCAGTTTGCTGAGACGCGTTTCTATCGTCCAGGCGATAACTATTTGACAATCAATGGTAACGACTTGAACGTAGGAGCAATGGAACGCGATATCAAAATAACGGTGCAGAATTGGAATCTTTGTCTCGTTGGCTTTCAGTCTCTAAATTGACGCTTAAGCGTTTTAACTAAAGGTGTGTGATGCTTTCATGATTTAGGTAGGTGGTGTTGACTGTCAGCTAACAGCACTTGCTAGGAAAGTCCTCACCTGTAAACCTCCGACAAGTAAACCACCTCTTGAAGGAGGACTGCAACCAGAAGTTGTCGTGAAAATTGGGAATATCAGGCAAGTGAAGTGGTTAGATGTGTTCTTCTTCTGACGTTATTCTAATCTTCATTGTTCATATTTCAGTTTTACCGCTGGTCAGTTATCCTATGACTCGCCCTCACTGACGTCTAGTGTGGTAATGGTGGTTTTGGGATGCATTGTTGCAATGTTGGTTTGCTTCATGTGCTTAGCCGTTATGTATAGGTAAAATTTGCTTACAAGTATCGTGCTGTTAAGACTTGGATTATATGCTAGTGTTCAGAAGAAAAACGAATTCTCATCAAAGGCAAATGAAGTACCTCAAAACTCAGATGGATACTATCGAAATGAAGGTACCTTGTGGTTTCTTTCTATTTATTGAAGTTCCTCATTAATCTCTGAACATCTGATGTGTTTTTCTATTATTCCGCAATCAATCTTTTGTTGATTTTCCGTTCTTGCCAAATCTTCCATTCTAGGTCGCGACTGAGTGCAAAGAAGCATTTGCTGAGCTGCAAACATCGTTGAATCAGTACACAGCAGATCTTCCTCTAGGAACTCCTATTGTTCCATTCTTGGAATATAAAGACTACTGCGCAAGAGTATGCTTGTATCGCATTCTTTCTGAGCATCTTTAATTCCCTCCTTTCTAGGTGTTGTTCCCAAACAACTCGCATAATCATCCAGTTTTGCGCGATCTTGAAGTGGATAGTCAGAAAGCTGGATCAATCGAGGCTGGTCTGCGAGAGTTCCACAAGTTGTTGATGAATAAGGTGTGAATCGTCTCTGGTTAACTGTGTTAGTTGTAATGAAGCAAATGTTGAGCGAGTACTTGTATTGTGATGGATTGCTCTGTTTCAGACGTTCTTCTTAACAATGGTCCGCACAATGGAATCGAACAAGTACTTTCTTGGGAAAGATCGTGTCTATGTTGGCTCTTTAATAATGGTGGTACTGCAGGTACTATGTTTTCATGAACCGAAAGCATTTTCTTGACGAATCGAGGAGTTGGACTTTTTAAATTGTTGATTGTTTTATGAGAAAATGGGCTATTGCACCGAAATGCTTAAACAACTGCTACGTGAGCTGATCGATCGTACGGTAGAGAAGAAGTTTCAACCAAAGATTCTGTTCCGAAGAAGCGAAAGTGTAGCTGAACGTATGCTGGCAGCATGGTTCACATTTCTAATGCATGACCATCTAAGGGTTGGTGGACTACAAGCGTTCCATTGCTATTCTATTACTAAATTATTGAAAGATTCATTATTCATTCTCCTTTCCGGAAGTTTTCTTGTCCGTTTAGAATTTTGCTGGTAAGCGTCTGTACGACCTTTACTGGGGAATAAAGCAACAGATGGAGAAAGGACCGCAGGATGCTATAACGCTTGAAGCTCGGTTTGTGAATACTGTGTGATCTTTTTTTTTCTATTTTGCACAACCGATCATCACATATACTGTACGTATCCCAGCACTTCTTACACTTGATTTTTGTCCTCGCATCCAGCGTGCATAGTGGTTTTCGAACATTTCATTTGTTGTTTCGACTGTTGTTTGAAGATTTCGCCTTCTTTATGAATGTGATAACATGCTGGTCAAGTCAGTTCTATTTTTAATCTTGGAGATAGCCTAAGGCGTTACCAAGTTGATTGGAAAAGAGCGTTGAGGTGGAGATCAAACTAGTTTCCTAATCGTTGGAATTACTAACTTCACTATCTTCGCTGAGTTTACTGTGATCACTAATAAATCGTAGTCCATGTCGTTTCTAGTGCATGACAAACTCAAACGTACGTTAAATGTGCACGAAGTGCGCTATATCACTGATACAAATATACGTCATCGATTTTTACCAAATTTCGTGATTCTGAATTAGGCAGTTCTCTTGTTTTCGTTTAGATATTCTCTATCAGAAGAGAAGCTACTGCGTGCAACGTTCGAGTATAAGGAACTGACAATGTTTATTGCTGCGGACTCGATGACCTACGCACAACCAGATATACCTGTGCGAGTGCTCGATTGTGACACTGTTACACAGGTTTGAGAAGGCTTTTGATATTTTCTATTGATCCAGGTCAAAATTATCTTTCATTGTTTTCGTAAGTAGTAATAGTCAAATTTAAACACAGTGCAATATCTTATCTAGAAATCTTGCTTATAGCGTAGTGATTGAAGGCGCCCTGCAATACACATGAGATCGATCCCCGCGTCCCATGCTCACCAAGCCTTCTATCCTTCCGCGGTCGGCAAATTGGTACCAGGATTGTCTAGGAGTGTAGCAACACTGGCTCGATACATTGGTAGGCCACCGCTAGTCATTGTGAAGGCCAGATATGCATTCAATTATCTCTAACGATACTTAATGAAGTCGAGTGCATGGCGCATCACCCAGGGATTGATCAACGCCTAGAGCTTTATCCTTCATCCTTCTTCTTCACTTGCGAAACGTTTATTGCCATGCTCGTTGGAGTGTTTCTGCATCGCTTCAATCCACCACTTGCGCACCTTATTTAACAGTTCCTGGATTCGATTCGCATAGCTTCCACATGCACATCATTTCGCCAAACGGAGATCGTCCATGAACCGCATAACAGTGGCGCATCGGAGAAACACACTATCGCTCCGTTAAAGCTCATAACTTTCTGAGACTGGAGGATGACCATCACAGCCAGAATTCTTGACTACTGAATCACTGTTTTCCCACATCTTCTGGAGAATTGAGAATGACTAAGGTTGTTGCCAGTGTGTGTTATTTGGCGATCAGTTAAATACTAAACACGTTCGCGTCAGTGTTAAATCCAGTTCATCTTCAACGATTGCTGAACAACAACTCAGTAATAAGTGAATCAAGGTTTCGATTGTACGTTACCCCAGAACTGCGGCGAAGCAAAATCTTCGTTTGACTTTCAACACAGCTGATCAACACTGAAAAATTTCTGGTATCTACGAGCGACTTCAGTATCTTCTTAAGTTATGTGATGCCCCTTACCTTTCACTACTCAATTGCAAAGATATTGACTGTTAATAATTCATTTCGTCACTTTTTTCTAGCTGAACTCGTTGTCAGCGTGGTGAAACTTTGTGCGGGACTGGTGAAATAAAGTGCACGATATTTTGAGCAGGTGAATGAATGAGCGAGGTGACGTGATGTACTTAATGTATGAATAAGCAAATGAAGTGTATAAATGGTGCCGGTGCTTCGCTAAAGGTTATGACATTCCATCTAGTTTAAAATTGCTTATGAGGATTCTGTCTGCTTTAAGAACACATGGAGTGAATTCGTATTGGGGTAAAAATTAAGTGTGGTAGGGAGGAAATTTCTGGATTGTTTGTTATTTTTTCCTTTGAGTGGGAAACAATAAGATTTTAAAGAACCACATTACTGCCAGAATTTATATTTTAGGTTAAAGAGAAATGCCTAGATGCCAAATACAGAACTGTGCCTTACTCGGATAGGCCAAGTGCAAATGATCTTGATTTGGAGTGGCGAACAGGACTTAACGGTCGTATGATATTGCAGGTATCATATTATTAACAGTAACTAACATCTGGTACCCAATAACCAATTATTTAAGTTAAGGTATTTAGGATATTGACTCAACTTCTCGAGTAGAACCTGGTGGATGGAAGCGACTGAACACCTTGTCACACTACAACGTTCCGAACAATGCAGTTCTTGTGCTCACGGCTAAACAGAATTCACTGTATAACCTTGTATGTCTTTCTTAAGCTCTTTTACAATTTATATGCGGTATTAGAACTAAAAATAACGTACTTACTGAAAAATACTTTAGTGACAATGAGCTGAAATTTTGTATCTCCGAACCAGTTCTGGAAATTCAAACATTCCTAGCACTTAACATAGGAGGATATCTTCTAAACTTAGTTTAAGATTAGTTGTTTGTTACAAATTTACGTCTTTTTTCAGTCTATGTTATCAGAGCGAAGTGAAAAGTCAGCGCTAAGTCTGAAAAACAGCCCAACATTATCAAGACCATGGATTGGAACAAATAACACAAGTAATTCAAAGGTAACATTCCTTAAAAATTGTAGCGTAATGCATACTTAATAGGATGCATTGATGCTTAGTATTGATGACTAAGTGTCACGGTGAAGCGTTAAACCGTCAGGAACAAAGGGAAGGGCAGTATTTCCCGGTTAAGGGTGTAGTTTGAGGAAAAAAATTTGAATGTCCATGATAAATTAGAAATTGTTTCAGGATACTGAAGGCCAAAAATTATTCCATCTCGTGAAACCCACTGAACATGGTCCTACGGAGAATCAGGAAAAAATGGTGACAGAAATCTATCTCACTAGGTAGATGAAAGGATGGAGTTTGCTTGTTGACTGAGTTAGATTATTTTGTTATTTTCAGATTACTAATGATGAAGGGAACGTTGCAGAAGTTCATCAATGATTTACTTGAAACGATTTTTTCCACCACACCACGATCGGCACCGTTGCCGGCAGCAATTAAATATATGTTCGATTTCATGGATGAGCAGGTAAGATCTGAGTTGTTTTCTGACAATCACAATGCCACGTTACTTGTTTTCCTTCTATAAGGTTAGAGTGAGCATTCACTATGAGTTAATATCCACTCACAGTCTTTATAGTTGTTTATTTTGTCCCAAAGAGTTTTTTTTGACGCAGTTCTTTCTATTCACTCGGTAGCCTCGGAACCATAGATGTACTGGGTGTCGCCGTCGTATACATACTAAAGTAGAATAAAAACAGTGTTCCATACAATTTTCTTCATGACGTGACGAGCTCGTTACCAGTAAAGCGAGTACATCTACAACAGAGATTGTTGCTGGTAAGGAGACACTGTTTTATTCTGATGCAGATTAATAGACCGCGCTTATGTTACTGTGGCCCAATACAGTTTATCTTTCGAACAACACTCTCTCCATCATTATCAGATGTGGGTGGCTACGGAGGATATGTAATACTGAAGTGTTCTCAACATGTTTTGTGAAACCGTTCACTGCAGAAGTTCCAAAAACGTCAAGACAGAGAACATCTGTAAAATATTAAAGACAGGAATTCCTAACAAAATACGTAGAAAAACCGGATCTTAGCTTGGAAAGTACCACAAAAAAAGTTAGGATTATTTGTTGTACTTGTTAAATCGCGGTTCTGATAGGATTTACGATTATTCTAGGCTCTTGAACACGGTATTACGGATACAGAAGTGGTTCATGCCTGGAAAAGCAACGCATTACCATTACGATTCTGGGTGAATCTCATAAAGAACCCGCATTTCGTTTTCGATATACAGAAGCCAACGAAGGTGAGGTTATCTACTGATCTTGGTAATAGGTGTTTACTAACTACACATATGATGCAAGTGTTGCTGAGTAAACTGGCAAGATGACTTAAATGTGACTCATGTTCTTCTCGACCGTTTATTTTATTATAAACAGTTTTCGTTACACCTTTTATAATCACTTCTTTGCTAATCGAACACAGATGTTGCGGCGAGTGTCGGCCGAGAAAAGCTATATTCTGCACTTAGAAATATACGAAAGCTTCTCGAACGAGTTCGTCAATGGGTAATCTCTCTGGTAGCTCACTTTTATCCCAATTATAGTCACTATGATGATCCTTTATTATGATCTGAAATGGGCAGGTATAGAAATGCGGAAACGGACTCTATGTAAGCTGCAAAACACATACGCTGAAAGTAGTGTTTTTGTGTCATGGACCCCATCAATAGAGCGATAAAACAAAATTTCTTCTGTAATCCTATTGTGTTGTTAGTCCTCAAATCTTCTAGTTATCGAAACATCATGTATTATGGAAGAACCGTCAATAACATGACATTAAGCATTGGCGGGTGTAAGTTAGATTTTTATTTTAGTGGAGTGGCTATTTGCAATAGTAATCCCTTTAGAACAAGTTGGTTACTAATGTATCCGACTATTTACCTGACCCAAATGACGTCTGATTTTCTTCTGTTTTCCCGTAAAGTTATTTCTGCTTAGTGCACAATACTTTGTTAAACAAATATAGAAGTCTAATATTCTGGGTTGAATATTCCTTAGTTTTTATCAACAGGATTACCGCAACTCACAATTCTTCATGTCATTGTTGTTCAGTTTTAATATTGTGAGCAGTGGTCAATTTTCTTGTTTGTCAGATAGAGGGATGTTTATCGGTTGTGGCTCAGACGCTTATGGATGCATGTTCTACGCAAGATCATCAACTCACAAAAGATTCGCCATCAAGCAAGCTACTCTTTGCTAAAGACATGTATCAATATAGAGACTGGGTGGATAGGTTTGTGCGTTTCAACATTTTTGCTACCGTTATTACTCATTTGATGTATCTGAATGTGGAGTAGAATTTCGCGTATGTTAGATTCATAGTTCAAGTTGAGAAACAGCAAATGATTGTTACTTTCCAGAATATTATCAAAATCTTGTGGTCGTGTTAAAGAAAGTATGTTCCTACTTTATTCTTGGGAGAACTCCATCACTTTATCCACTGCTATAGTATACTATAGTCTTGGCTACTATAGTGTCCATTAAATTAACTGTCCTCATTTTAGCTATTACTCTGATATCGTTCGATTACCGCCTATCCCGGATCAAGATATGGCAGCGTTGTTGAACGAGGAATCTCGAGTGCATCGTGGTCAATTTCACGTGTTTTCGGCTCTGAACGAACTTTACAAATACCTCGATCAGTACAAGGATCCAATCATGGATGCTCTAGAACACAATGATCATGCACAAGCGAGTCGGTTGCCCGGACGACTTCAGGTAAACGTTCAATCAAAAATTTACATTCCTTCCTTCCCATTAAGGATCGTTGTGAAGAGATCCATTTTTATTTCAGTTATCTTATGTGGTCTTCATATTTTAGATAGCTCTTTTCCTAATCCATGTGTCTTATAGCTCTAATCTCAACAAAAGATGTATTGCTTTAGTAGGGTGGATGATAAAGAAGGAGAGTAGACCTCCATTTTTAGGATATGCTGGCATTGATGGAAGCAGACCAAAGTCGAACGGACTATGACAGTTCCACGTTGGGTCTCGGTTATAACTCAAATAGCCGCTTGATGCCTCGAGAGCGGATGTGAGGTGTTGCTTTCTATCGTGCGAGTTGTTTTCATTTTGTGCCTATTCTTCTAAATCTAGTCGCGTCGTAATTAGTCGCTCAATCAATAGTTGTTGATTATTGATATTTATTGGTAATCGATATACCATCTACAGAGGGTGGTTATATATGTGCTAGTATGCACGGGTTAAGTGTGGTGCGTCACGGGAAGTCTTAAGTTATAGCGTTAACTTTAAAATCTTAAATCTTTTTTTTTCGAAAGTTAGCTGTGATTTTTGCAATATATCATCGATTAATAGTGTATAAATGTAACCGGGTCGCATGTATATTGTACGTGAAAGAACGTAAAAGTGGTAAATCTGTAAATTTGAGCTTGTCCTTTTTAGTGGGTACTGATGAATTACTTTCTAAAATCTTTGGTTATTCTGCCATTCTTCTCCAAACAAGCCTCATAATATGGTTTTTATTCATTAGTCTGCTCAAAGTTGTGTGAAAAGCCACTAGATGATGGTGCTTTAGTGGTTTCGCTTAAAATCTTTATTGATCGTTTCCGAAATTAGTAATAAGTGATAATTTCGGAAAGGAGAGTTGAAATGTGAATGAGCATATCTCTCAAGTTTTGTTTCGGTTCTTATCGATTCTTATAATGTTGAATATGCATCGAAAACAGGGATCTGAATAAATGTCTATTGATTTCCTTATTGTTTTTATGCTGAAGAAGTATTCATATCGCTTGGGTAACTGTCTGAAATAACGTAAAATGTGAGAGCATGCAATAATTTGCTAGGTATTAAAAGTTTCTGACTGTATAACTTGAATGGTATGCCATTATTTTGTTGTTGACGTCATAATATATTTTCTTCCAACAGCACTGATAGAGGTTCCATAAGTTTATGTGGATGGTTTTTCTGAATATAACGTTGGGTAAAGGTTTCCTGGAGTCAGGGTTGAATTGATGGTTCAATCCTGCAGCACGTGTAGACCAAGACATCTATCATACTCGGGGTCGACAATTTGCTACTAGACGTGTTTGGGAGGATAAAAGTGCCGACTTGTTAAATTGTTAGACGCGAACAAATTATTGCATAGCCTCCCTATCCCCCAGTTTAAATAACGCTACGATGCTTGACAAAGTCGACGATCCACTAGCGTACCTGAGGGATTTCATATCCTTCTACCTGGTTTCTTAGTGAAAAATGATCACGAAGAGTAAATCTACTTTCACCTGGGTTCTGACTTTTGAAGTTGTACGAGGTGGATTTTTGTAAAGTTGTTTGCTGTGTGGTCGAATTTTACGGGAAGAAGTTTGGTTCTTCCTGAAGAGCTATCAAAGAAATTGGTCATGTAAGTGATATATTAATGCTGCTTTAATCTCTGAAGAGAGCAGAGTCTACTCAAAAGATTAGTAATTTAGAAGGTAACAACATCACACTATATAAATATTGGGAATTTGGAGGTAGGACAAAAACTTGAAAGATTCCATGCTACTTTTTCCTCCATCTTTCTTTCATTTTTAGTGTAATGTTGTTGAAGGTGATTCAGAATTAAGAGAAGCCTCTTGTGTTTTTCAATGTACTTTATTTTACCTCAGCTGATTCACTAGTTTTTGGTATCTACGGTGAGAAACGAACGCGCTATTATCCTTTCCGGGAAGTAACGCGTTCACCACTACACCGTGCTGATGGCAGAGATCGATAGAACTAGCTAAGAGACAGGCGAAATGAAAGACCTGCATGGTACGGTGGTGAACGCTTTGCTCCCCGGAAAGGACAATAGCGCGCTTGTTCCACACCGTAGACACCTGCTGTCCGGAGTTTTGCAAAGATAGCATCATTGAAGGTATATTTCATAATATACTCTGAAATTAAAAAGATTAGGCATTAAGTAATAAGTTAAAACTAGTTTTGGTTCAGTTCTCAGTTGTAAATAAACTATTCTGTTCTCCGTCAGGACAGTTAAAGGCTGAGTGGACCAGTTCGAATTTTATTTACTTAGTTTGAAATTTGAATTTTGGATTAGGAGAAAGAAATGAGATTGGGAACCGTCTCGCAGGACTCCTGCCTGCAGCACATCTCTTCCATGAAAACTCGTTTTTCCAGAAGAAAGGAAGACCCCGCTGAATATGGGAGTCTCCTAGTGGCACGACTCATGCGGAAAATGACCTTGTTCTTACAAACAGAAGATGGTGCCTATTCGACACATCGGTAGTCCCGTCGTTCTGTACTGGTTCCGACCACCGCCTTCTTCGCGCGAAGATTCGTTTCAGCCGCACGCTGGAAAAGAACTCTCGTCATCGACCACGAAAAAAAAGTCTAGCTGTATACGACGAGAACATTCTAAACGAAGTCCTGTCCAAACGTGACTGGTAGATTAAAGAGGACCCGACCGAAGACTACGAGCTGCTTGTTGAAGGACTGAAAAGCTGTGCCGAATTCGCCTCAGTTCCCCAAGCAAGAAGGTCGGATCGCATCTCCGTCGCTACTAAGCAGTTACTAGAAAAGAGAAGGAAACCGAAGTTTGGTCCTACTGCAACACGTTTAAAATGGCTAGTAATAAATGCCAGCAGCAGAAGAGCTTTGCAGGAAGATCTACAACGGCACAAACAGAAGAAAATACTGAAAGCAGCAGAGAAAGGAAGCAGTCTGAAAAAATTCCGTCGGGACTTGTGTCATTATAATGTTCCGCTGTTAGCCCTGGTGAAGGAAGATGGGGTCGCCAACACTGCCCGCCATGATATGGAATTAATAGCGGAAACGTTCTACACCAACCTTTTCCGTTCCACAATCCCCGTCCCGTGTCCTAATATCCCCACTGGAGAAAAACCACCTGGAATTCTTCCATCGGAGGTTCGAGTTGCGATAGAAAGCATGAAAAGAGGCACAGCTCCATGACCCGATGATATCACTGCCGATTTCCTTAGAACTGGAGGCCACAATTTACACGTACTTCTCGCAGATCAGATGACAGGCTATCTTCAGAAGGAGAAAATCCCAGACCAGTGGAGAACGTTGCGCACGGTCATCCTGCCCAAGAAAGGAGACCGAAGGGATCTTCGTAACTATGGTTCCATATGCTTGATAAGTGTACTCTACAAGCTCTTCACAAAGATTATCCTCTGCCGCATATCAAGAGCATTAGAAGAGGCGCAACCAGTCGAGTAAGCAGAATGTCGAAAAGGATTTTGATGCATGGACCACGTCCTAACCGTGTCCAGGGTCATCGAAGTTTGTCGGGAATACCACTTGGCTCTAGTCCTAACCTTTGTCGACTATGAGAAAGCGTTTGACAGTGTCGAAACGAATGCAATACCATCAGCTCCCGTCGACCAAGGAGTGGACCTGTTCTATATAAGGACTCTATCTGATTGTTATCGGAACTGCGCTACGAAATTACAGTTTTTCGAACAATACAATACGACAGGGCGATGCAATATCGCCAAAACTGTTCAGTGCTGCACTGCATTGGATAATGAAGTCACTTGATTGGGATGAGAAAGGCATACGTACTGATGGAAAATTCCTATCAAGCCTTCGTTTTGTCGAAAAAGATTGCCATCTTCTCAAGAAGTACTAGCGAAGCAGAAATGATGATCAACGAGCTCAACGAAGCGGGGAAAAAAATCGGACTTCGCATAAATCGAAAGAACACCCAGTTCATGAAAAACCCATGATGCGAAGGCGAAGAAATTGAACTGGATGCATTGCAGAGACCACCTCGTACGTTTACTTTGGGCGATCAATGAACGTGGAACACAATATGAAGAAGGAACTAGATAGAAGAAGGAGAGCAGCTTTGGCCGCATTCGGGCCTCTCAAAGAAGCCACCGATCAACTGAAGTGCCCGAAAATCCGAGCTCATCTCTTTGATTCTACGGTCCTCCCAGCGCTCTGTTATGCTGCAGAAACGTGGGTTGATACTTCAACTACGTCAAGTATGCTTCGAAGTACTCACAGAGCGCTTGAGCGATGTCTTCTGGAATATAACCGGAACTCTCAATATCTAGCCACAATTTGAAGCTCTGACCTTCGAACTCTGTCACATCTTCGAGATCCAGGAAATATACATCGACAGCGAAACATAGATGGGCCGGTCACATAATGAGAAGAACAGACGACAGATGGACGAAAAGAATAGTAGAGTGGACTCCAAGAGAATGCAGACGTTCTCTTAGATGACCACCTACACGTCGGGCGGACGTGTTCGTAAACAGGGTTAATCAGCTGTACCCGCAGCAGCAGTTGTTTTACAGATCACAGTATGAGACTCGCAAGCGTTACCGTGCTTGAACAAGACCACCACCATGGACTACGATTGCGAGAGGAAGGAACGATTAGCATATGTGCTGGGCTCCGCACAGCTCGTGAAGACGGACCGTCCAAGTATCCAAGTAAGTTACTTAGTTTGAATGATCCGCCAAATACTCCTTTCACTTCGTTCGTTTTCTAGCATACGTCACCACGGTGTTCGGATTTGCATGTAGATTCAGGTGTTGCTTAAGGATTTGAGTTCATGATCTTCAAGGATGATCTTAAGTGGTGGTTGAGTACATTCTCTCTAAAATCCCGCGATAGATGTGTTAGGGCGTTACCAGGTGTCCACCACGGGCACTGTCTGGTCACTATGGATAAGTAGTTTTTCTCAGAAAAGTCCGATTCTAACTTACCGACGGCGGAGGGATGGAAGGCTCTGTCCAGGGCTGGACCGAACCAGTAGCATTGCGTGCACGGCATCCCTAAGCAGTGCGCTTCCAGAGTATCATCCTTCACGTAATTGTTTTGTAAGTGTTGAGCCGTAAGATGTTTGCTAGATCAACAGTTGACATTGTGTGAAGTGAGGCATTTTAGGAATATCACAATCGGCAAAAGATTTCCTCACAAAGCTAGTCACACAGGTAAATATAAAGAACAGAATGAGAACAATAGGTGCTATAGCAACAACATTAACAATAGATACCAGTGTAGTGATGTTGCTTCCTGACGCATTACAACAAAGGGATTCTTAGAAGCCCAAAGATGTGTTAAGAAAAGACAAAGATACGGAGAGCCACCTGCTTCCTAAGCCTCATTTTGTTCGATTAGACTACCCAAGCTATTATGATTTTGCGAACCCGCCTTTGCTACCGGGAGCGATGAAGTGCTGGAAAAACTAGAATCCGCAATTACTTTATCTGCACCATGAGGATAAAAAGTGACTACCTCAATGCAGTGGAAGTACTTGTCAGCTTTTGAGAATGGAGACAGTCGGCCCAGACTAGACAATAATTCTTAGAGAACGTGGATCATCGAGGAGAATTCGCTTGTTGACAATATACAAAAGTTTTTGAATGTTTCCAAAACATGTCATTTTTCAGTGTCTTTTTGATGCTGTATTTAATATCCGCTCCCAATGGTTAACACCTCGTCGTGGCTGGCAGATGTTCCTGGGTGTCGGACTGCGATGTACAGCGGGGATTCATCCTCCCGGCAGGGTCTCCCAACCTGAAAGGGAGTCCGGCGTCTCCATGAGGAAGCTCAGCTCAGCTCAGAAGAGTAAACCAATACCAGGATCTCCACCACCGTCCTGGGATCAAAATGGTCTCGTGGTAGTAAATCTCGCTCTGGTCCACAAGGGTCTAATATCGTAGTATTATAGTGGAACTTAACGAGATGAGTAGAGAGTGAAAACAGTTCTCAGTAGTTCTTCGTATTCTTGTTGTTCAAACGCGAGGTGTTATTTTATCTTTTATTCACGAACAAGTTGACGTTTCTGCAGATTTCGCCTTCCTCAGAGCCTGGAAAGGTCAAGTTGAGAGCAATCTATTCGGCCAAACACCTCCATAACCAAACAGAGAAAGCGCTAAACCAAGATTTCAGTCACATTGAACACAGAATAGCTTCTTTGCACGCTCACCGCTTTCAATGAGTCTTACACTATGTCGTGTGGAGACCAACCACACATTCACATGGGGAGCGTAATGTGCCCCTTCCATCAGAATAACAGGTCTATATACTGCCCAATATCACGTGTGATAATGAGGCATTCCTTCATAGGCTCATTTTCGGATTTCTGGAATTAATCCAGAACGCCTCAAGAATTTTACGCGCTTGTGTTCTCGATTCCTGTGCGAAGATCGTGACACTTACTTCAAAGTCCTCCCCGTTATGTCTCTGGGTCCTATGCGTGCCTTGTGGGGTAATTGGTTTACGTCTGCTCACTAGATGTTCTTTTATGCGGACACAGAGTGGTCTGCCCCTTTTGCCAATGTATTGGTCTCCTCACGCCTTACAGTTGATCAGATAAACTGTACCCGAGCTCATCCAATCACCGTCTCAAGCATTAGGGAAAATTATGCAATTTTGCGTTGCACATAGACGGTCATATAAGCGGTTACGAACTAGTTGCCTTTTTAGAGTGCTCAGTAAAGTAAACATGTATGGCTTCAAGATAGAGCAGTTGATAACACTCTTAAAGGAGTGCCTGAACTGCTCAATCTTCAGATAGTCCGAGAGGTATTACGCACAAGTGAGAGGGCTGGTAATGGGACAACGAGTGGCACTAAGTCTTGCCATTGCATTCATGTCTAAGGTGGAAGTGCCAGTAATCGACCTCGGACCGTTACTCTACTGTAGATATATAGATGACTGTTTGGTCATTTGTTCAACGCAAGAAGAAATAGACAGATGTTTCGAGTTGTTGAACGAGTCAAGCAGAGCATATCAAGGTCACTTGAGAGAAACCGAAAAAAACTGGCTTCCATTCCTGAAGGTCCACATTAACCTGTCAGAAAATGGCTACATTACGAAGTGGTACCGAAAGCCAAGTAGTAAAAGCATCTTGGTTCATTACCTCTCCTCTCACTAGTCTCACACAAAGAGGGCGCTTGTAAGAAATATGTTTCGAGCAGCAACCAACGTGTTCACGTGAAGAGAGCAGAGAGAGGAGTCCCGAAACATGGTACGGCAAATAGTCATTTCTAATGGTTATGAAGCTGTATCTCGGGATAAGTGTAGGAGAAATCTTAGGTCTCCAAACGACAACTCTAGCGATAAAAAAGTCCCGTTTTTCCTACCCATCTTAAATGATGTAAGTGCAGCTATAAAACGCTGCTTAAGAAGAGCTGGTTTAGAGAATTCGGTAAACGTAGTTGAAATTCCGCCGAGTAGTCTTAGGCGCCAGCTAGTTGGTAACCGCTTATGTGAGCGTCTATGTGCAACGCAAAATTGCATAGTTTGCCCTAATGGTAGAGACGGTGAGTGCATGAGCTCGGGTACAGTTTATCTGATCTCCTGTAAGGCGTGCGGAGACGAATACATTGGCGAAACGGGCAGACCACTCTGTGTCCGCATTAAAGAACACCTAGTGAGAAGACGTAAACTAAATACCCCACTAGTAACGCATAGGACCCAGTTGAGTAACAGCTCTAGACCGGTCACTGGTGCTTCCACCTTAAACATAAACGCGATGGCAAGACTTGATGCCAGTTGTTGTCCCATTGCCAACTCTCTTATTTCAGCGTAGTACTTTCTGGACCATCAATCCTGTTAACGGGATTGATCGGGGAGCAAAAGTCATCATTGAATCTAATGAAGCTGTCCTCTAAATCACAATGTAATTACGTTGAAGTTTAGTTTTTCAATTTTTTTTGTCGAAAACATGGTCATAGAGATGTTAACCCTAGCATATTTTGGGAAAACCTGTCCCGGGACCTCTTATGGTGACCGGACAGTCTCGCATTAATGAAGGTACCAGACAAGCACGTACTTCCTAATAAACACAATCAACCCGATGAACGTGATATTTGCTCTCCTATTACGCTGTTGACTACAGAGTACTCTTAACAGTGGGATTCATTGTTGAGTTAGTCTAATCGATTCGTTAAAAGCTTTCATAGACTGGATTCTAGACCCAAATGAAAGTGTACCTGATGAAAGTAGGAAATACGGAAAGCAATACTGATCTACAATATATACCTCATTTATCACAGACAAACGAGTACAACTGAAAAACATTCAAGAAAGCGACATTAAATAAAGATTGTTCTATTTTCCCACCGAAATGACGAAGAATGTTGTGGAAGAGCAAACTGAAATTTTATAATAATAACACGATTCGTTGAAGACGGCTAGGACTCTTCCGTAAAAGGTAATGGTAAAAATATGAATGAAACGGCGAATAAGAAAGCTTGCATTAGACGCACCCCTGTGTGTGTCGGTAAGGATCTTGGTGATGGCGGCAGTGTCTCAATAATTTCGCGAATTTTGTCATGTCGTTGGCGCCAGTTCAGTTTCTGTAACTTCTACGTTTATACACCAAATCACACATGTTTCCCCAAAGAAGAAAGAAGTGACTATTTAGTGAGAACTGCTTTCTTTTCATATGGAATATGACGTGGGAGATTTATGAAGAGGCAGTATAAAACATGGATTTATCGATAGGCCAACATAGATTGGTTTTAGAAGCTAAACCCATAACTACTTAGAAATTATAATTTTGTATTTATCTTCATCCATTTAAAAAGTGGAAGTTGACACCTTGTCGCGATGAATCCTCTTCAATTCGTCACGGATCGGAAGCGGTAGACGATCGAATCCTGGCGGTGGCGGTAATCGGTTGAGTAGTTCTTCTGGTAGTGAAGTCATAACTTCGTCAATCTGCTGATGCTGTTGCTGAAATATCAGCGAGTTTCCAAAGTTTTAAAATAAGTACGTATAATTGTAGCATTTCGTAAATAAGGCGGATTGTAGCCGTAGTTATGCAGTAGTGTGTTGGAAATTTTCGAGTATGCCGAATAGAACTAAGTGTTAAAGGAAAGTGCGTTGAGCGTTCGTTAATCCCTAAAGGAATCGTGGTACATTCGACGCCATTCCATAGTAGCGTAAAGGTTATTGAATGCATGTATCTCGTAGACATGGTGCGTTATCAAGTGTATCAAACGAGTGTTTTTATCCTCCCAGACAAGTCTGCTACCACTTTGTTGACCCACGGTGGTGAAGAGTTTGGTTAGCTTGGGTATTGAACTAATAGCTGACCATGTGTGTGCAGGGACGTATAACCTTGCCCTACTCGTGTCCTTGAAATGAGTGATACGTTGCCAAAATATGCTTGTCACATCTGAACTTGTAATAATATTGGTTAAATGATAAAAACGTATGATATGCAATTATCGGAGACATAAGAACGTGTTTTCTCAAGAAGATTTTTAATATTTATCGTACAACATAGTGATTTGAATTCGGACACATTGGTATTCTAAACATACCTATGGAGAGCCATCTTCTTTATTTTTGCGAAATTTGTAACATGGGTCAAATTTTAGCCTACTGATTTTATTTTTTATTATTTTATTTCATTTAGTGTTTCCTAGGCTACTTAGTCATTGTGTGCATACACAAACATTACTGCCACATACATGTAATTCGGGTAATTCCATTCTCTTAGATATAACAATTGTTTGAAAATTTACCTCAGCTGTTAAAGCGCTATTCTCGTGAATGTTTTTCAGTCGTTGAACTATATCAACAGGAAGAACTTCTCCAAAACCAGGCGGTATATCCTTAACAAGTGCAAAATAAGAAACGAAAACGCTGTTAAATTGGCATTAAAAGGAAGACGGTAGAATGTCGCCGACCTTTGGAAGTCTGGGTATCGTCGTCGGCTGCTGAGCCATAGTGATCGCCGCCATGACGAATAGTGCGACAAAAACCCACATGGCTATCGCTTAGGTTCACTGTGCTCAACAATATATAGTTACGACAATATTTGCGATTCGTGTGTGTTCGTGTTGAAAAACACCTACACCATCCGAGTGGTGAGAAGGGTAGAATACGGTCACGCTATCTGCGACTACATTGGCCGTCTAGTTCGTGACAAGTGCTCGTCGAACAAAGCGGACTTGTCGCAGTCGCTTGTTCTCATTGTGCCGAACCACTCACCATGATACTGACGAACAATGTCGTTTTGATTATTCCACTAACCGTAAATAGGCTAGGGTAAATATATTCGACAAATTCCGCTGCTAGAGGTGAAGTACTACGACTACTAGGATTGGTGGAGTTATGAACCAAGTGATTGCGGGCGCTGTCGCGATTTTATAAGAACCACAATCCCGTTGGACCGCCCGTCGCTTGTGATGACGACATAACGCCTTAACAGTGGGATTTCCATGTCCAAGGAGAAATTTATTGCTGAAGCAGCACGATCCCAATGAAACGATAGTTCCCAGACCAGCATGACTCTCATGGAAACGGGTCATCAAGGACAATCTTACTTTTTAAAGTTTTAGAATGAAGATTTCGGAACGTTTATAAATTATATAACCTTTTTTGGAAAATGAGCTCTATTCTATGCATCATAGTTCGACACCCACTGATGTCTACGATGAGGATGTAAGTCATTGATATTTGGTTACTATAATTAAGTTACTTATTTTTATGACCCAAGTGCAATGACCTAGTGAAGAAGATTCGACTCGATGTGAGGACGAAAACACCACCATCGACAAAGACGTCGAAACCTTTGCCGAGTAAAGTTTACTTAACAACTCGTATTGGCTTATCAGTGAGGAAAGACGAAGAGTGTTTAAAAGAAGCCGTTTACTATGCGAACACCGTTTATGTATGGAGTTTTTTCTACCTGTTTGTAAAAGTGTTTGGCTGAGTTGATTGCAGGTCAATTTAACCTTTCTTGGCTCTGTAGAAGAGCAAGCCACCGAAACGTCTGCCAGTACCGAACAAAATTTGTTGTTGACAATCTCACGTTTGCTCAAGAAGACAATGACTTCTCGCTATTGTTTTCACCTGACCTACTGCAACCATGACCAGAATGATTTTTTTCTTCAACCTTGAATCTATGTTGTGCCTATTCGCTTAGTATTCTTGCCAGCTAGGATAGAATATTTCACATACTTCTATGTAGTTTCGGGAATATTTTGTGCGTTTTTGACGGAAGCATAATGGTATAATGAGTTAATATGTATGGACTAAAGGATAAAAGCATATAGAACAGAGCCTTCAACGTTGGCTAACCCTGATGGTTGCGTCATATATCCGACGTCGTCAAGCTTCGTAGAGATGATGAATGCATCGTTGGCCTACGCAATAACTTACGGTGGTCTGCTGGTGTATTAAATCAGTGTCAACTCAACAAGATCAGATCATAAGAACACATAAATAAATATTAAATCGGTGATTCTGCCCTCTTAGACAGGTATGTTACTAATCTTGCAATCTTGGACGGAGAAAGTGCTTCGTTTGCCGACGGCGCGAGACCAAAGCAACGACACACACGAATATTGCACAGTACTTCCATCCACAGTACTGCACAGTACTTCTAACCATGGCACCTTAACGTATGCGCCAGAAACCTGGTCGCTGAGTAAGCAAGATGAAAGGCCACTCAACATTATCGAGCGCCCAGTCCAAAGGACGATCCTAGGAGTATGCCGTATAACACGCATGAGAGAAGTGATCTGAAGCTCCTACCTACGTCAGCGATCAAAAATTAAAGATGCCGTTCACTATGCCAAACTGCCGAAGATAAGGTGAACCGGAGACGTAATGCGTATGAACGGCAACCCGATGGACAAAAGCCGTTAGTGACTGGATTCTTTGGGATATCAAAGGTACTGCAGGAAGACCACCGACCTGATGGTCAGAGTTCTTGACGGGAACCCTAGAAGAAAGGTGTGATGTTTAAAAAGTCCCTAGAGCGAGGAGAAACCACTGGGCTACTCTAGCACGCGACAGGGAGAAATCCAATATTTAGTGGTGCCCGCTCGAGTCAATCGACGGTCGATGGACGGGAGCTGACAGGTAATGGAAGATGAATTGTAAGATGTGGTTGGCGACTTATTAGGAATTTTGAGGCATCCTTGATGTTTTGGGGTTTCACATTTTTGTGATTATTCTTAGCGCTCCTGTACAGAGCAATGTCCCTCGCATTTCGAGCGTGGTTTCTTGGTTTTCTTTACTATCATAGCTGATTTTATGAGAAATTGGTTTTACTTCATTCCAAATGTTGGTAGCATCTAGCTAGAATGAATTATTGGACATAAGAATTTTATGATAAACCTCACTATCTCACCGTATTTTTGAGGAATACTTCGCTATTGAAGATTGCATCAGACTTTGTAAGGTTGGAACATTTCAAAAGTTAGGTAGAACCTTTCAATTAATCAAGGCATTAAGGAATGAAAGGCGATAGGAGAAAAGGTAATACGTCCAGTCTCTGAAGACGACGAATATGTCATCGAAACGTTAGCCATTGAAAATCAACGTATCGGTTAACATCATGTCACTTCATCAAGCATAGTTTATGTTAAAAAATAACCTTAAATGTTTTCGATCCTCTGCCGATCTTCTTAGATGAGAGCGGTATTAATAATATGTTTCATACTAGCATCTCATTACTGTTTTCGAAGGTACCACTTGTACGTTAACTATGTCGTTCATTACTTATACCTTTACAGTAACTGTGTCCACTTGACTGTAGAGATCGAAACATCGACAATCACTATCTTCTATTACAGTGGTGTATCCCTCAATGATCTGATATTGATGTAACATTGTTTTTCGTGTGAACTAGTTGCATTTGAAACTCCACTGACTGAGAACATACAGGAATCAAATCTATCATTCATCTAAAAGCTGCTATCATGAATAATTGGAACGAAACTGAACCCGATGTAGACGAATTACTTAAATAACAGGATTATTCGGCGATGTTCTACCATATCACTGAAATTGAGAAAGAATATGTGCTGTGGCGATCGGCCTGCTTTCTTGCTCATTATTGGTTGACGGAACAGAGTTTAGAGAGACCCCGACTGATGGTATGAATTCTGAAAACGTTGACAAATAAGGAATGAACAACTTTAGGAACCTATTGCAACCAATCCAGTGTAACGCTCTAGAAATCTATGTACGATGTAAAAACTAGGGGCACTTGTAACGCAGAGATTACAAGTGTACTGCAATGCAAAAATCAAGTTCATTCTCCCTTGAACAGAAAATTTGCTACTAGATTGACAGGTACGATGCTTAGCACATCGATACGCCCCACAGTATATGGGTCAGATCGAATCACTGCAATGTATATAAAGTAGAATACATGGCACATCCCAATAGGATTGATCGACCGCAAACGTGCTATCTTCATCTTTTATAAAAGGAACCTGAACTCTTATAAAAAATCGAAAGTAAGACAAGACAAAAAATAGGACGGACAGAAAAGAACGCGAAAGGAGAAGACGACTAAAGAAGAATAAGACGAAAGAAGAGGTGGAGGAAAGTAGAAGAACATGAAAGAAGACCACTAAAGAAGAAGGACCTGAATGAAGAATAAGATCTGGAGAAGATTAATAAGATAACTGATTATTATTATAGTGCGCTGTAATATAGCGTATTATCTACGCAGTTGTTATCAATAAATCTCCGTTTCAGGTCAACCATTAATACCTTTTGAAGCGAAGGATATGTCTTCTGATCAATGGGAAATAAGGAGTGAATTACTGTAACACGTCGAAAACATAGCGTCGAAATATAGATATTATAGATCTCACGAGAAGTTTACTTCATGAGTGATATTTAATATTCCATGGACCTCAGAACAGTGGCAGGAGACTCCCAGATATTACTGCATTACTATCAACCCAAATATTATGGACGGTGGTGTTCAAAAAAGAGAAAAGAAGAAAAAACAAGACCAAAAATACAAGAAGGAAGTCCACAACCTTTTTTGTTATCTGTGAGTGTAAAAAATAGAAATAGAGCACATTTTAAAGATATGCATTTCCCAGAGCATCAGCGAACGGCATAGATTTCTCTCTTAAGACTAGATGAAAGCGTTCTGCGCTGATCAATCTCATAATGTACACAATACATTTCACTAACCATTAAGCATCGTAGAGGAACGACATCTGTGATTGGGTAGCTACTGAGTGAATATCAAAACTATAGCAGAAACGCCATTTGCAATAAAAGAAATCATCGAAACGACTATGTATTGAAATCAACGCGCATAGTCCGTTGTGTTCATATCGTGTATTGTTACGATGATAACTGTCAGCTAGAAACAGTATCTACCGTGTGGCTGTCCAAATATCCTTGGCCATGAACTACAACTATACAATAGTGTTACTTCGTCGCTTCCAGTCGTAGACACCAGAAAGCAAGTTGAACAGCAGGTCGGCGAGCTTGTCAACTTCATGAAGATTTTCGATCTGCAATTGTTATGTCGTACTGGAAACTGTAAGGTACAGAAAATTTTCAATGAAAGAAGCTACGAGTTGGTGTAAAAGTGTAAATTTTCTAATCTTTGAAAAGGGCAAATCATCTCGACATCAATCTTACCAGTGAAATGTAGCATTATTCAATGTTATTACACCGTTTTTCCTTACTATGCACCTGACGGGTATACGTGTGGAGTGCGCAGTTCGTTCGATTCTCAAAAGGAAACTGAAGCTCCGAGGTACGATAAGGATCTTCGTTTACTAGTGTGTAACGGCTCACAGCTCAAGGATGTGAGGAGCGTTCGCGAGGGTGCGCAAGAACTATGAACCGTTTGTGAGGTACCTCAAGCTTGGGTATTTAAACTTTTATTAGTATACACATGTTACTCACACAACAACGCAAGGCGGTACACAATGTCTGTCCAAAAACTGCGAATGAGGTAGTTCAGTGGTTTTGTTACCTAATAAAACACATTAACAATAGTACACACACCAATGTAACGGCTCACAGCTCAAGGATGTGAGGGGCGTTCGCGAGGGTGCGTAAGAACTACGAACCGTTTGTGGGGTACCTGTGAGCAATGAACGTATTTAACTTATGTTAACACGGATAACATAATTACACGAAAAACAACGATAACATTAATGTGTCAGCAATTCAAGGGCTAAGGATTACATATACTATCATTATGACCTAAGCAAATGAATCTGCTAGGTAAAATCAACCGGGGTGGAATTAATGATGGAGCTGGCGATGACGGTCTTCACGGCGTCATTGGGTCAAATGGCGGGACTACTGGGTGTGTCCCATGGCCAGAACGGGATATGGACGCAGAGGAAGCGCGCGACGTTGGAGCCACGCGATCCCCATCGATCCGTGGACTGTATTAGTTATGCAGATAGAGAATTCTCTATCTGATTGAGGAATTCTCTATAGTCCCCCACCTCTATAAGAGTGGGCTGGGCGGTGACTGATGGTGTACGTTGAGTGAGGTTTTGTGATTGAAGGTTATAGTGGTGGCACAGCGATTCGCGTTCTTCCTTACCGTTTTCCTTGGAATGCTTTTTCGGATCCTGGTCCTCCTCGACTTGTGGGGAGCAACATCTTTGACAGATTGTAAAAACGTTGTTGTCACGTGATTGAGGTCGGAAATTATAACGTTGACTTTGAATCCCAACTGCGCTATGCAGCTTGTTAGTCGGCGACTCCGTTTCACCATTTGTGTCGGACCGTTTCTCTGCCGGATTGTCTTCCAGCTCAAGTGGAATCAGTAAGTTAATTGGTCTTCTTATGATACGTCCACTCGGTAACTTGAGCTGTGTTTCTTGGATTGCACCCGTTTCTGTCTGCTTCAAGTCGATGATGCGCGCCATTTTCCACACGTTTCGTGGCAAAGCTGGATCATGAATTAGTACAACCGTCCCTATGATTGGGTTTATTCGAGTGCCTCGTTTGTTATTTATATTGAGTTTGTGAGTTTCTCGGAGACTTTTCAAGTATTCTCGGCTCCAAATGTTCCAGTAATGTTCTGTCAGCTTATGACTTGATGCAAGGGCATCCTGCACTTCCTTTTCGCGTGCGTAGTAATACTGCTTCTTGGGGTGGTAGATACGTTTTATCATCTTCCTCTTTGCTGAATTCAAATGGATATGTTATTATCATGTCACGCTGGATAAAGTCTATTGGTCGCAAGGTAACAAAGTTATCGGGGCCTTCTTCTTGGTATGTGAGAGGTCGACTGTTAAGATTTCCCTCTATTTCAACCAACAGGGTTTCCAATTCTTCCGTCGTTGGGATCGTCTTTTGCAGTACTTTGTATAGAGAGTACTTGACTGACTTTATGAGATGCTCGTAAAATGCTCCCTGCCACGGAGCATACGGCGTAGTTGTCCTCCATGTTACTCCTCTCGTTGCCATTGTACTTGCTAGTGACGAGTCGTTAATAACGGTAAGAATTGTGTCTTGCAGAATATTTTCACTTTGTAGGAAATTAGATGCGTCATCAGAAGTGATAGTTTTGGGCACTCCTTGTCTAGCGAAAAATCGCCCTAAAGCTAGCAGGAAATCATTCGTCGTCACGTTCTGTACGAGTTCTAAATGAAGTAGTCTTGTTGTCGCACATGTTATGATGATGCCGTAGACCTTTGTTGTTCCCTCACTATTTTTCGCTGTTAGTGGTCCGAAATAGTCCACACCTACATGCTCAAACGGTCGCGATCTTCTCACTCTTCTTTCCGGCAGATAATTATCCATCGGCGGATAATTGTAAGGGAGACTGTTCATCTTTTGACATGGTAGGCATCGTCTTATAACTTTCTTAGCAATTTGCCTTATGCTTGTCATCCAGAATCTTTCACGTGCCTTGGCTATGGTATGGCTTGTTGCATTATGGAATGGGAGATATGCCTCAACAACTATTAATTCTGCTAGTGCTGTTTTCGAGCTGATTAGAATAGGTTGCTGAGTTTCACGTGGCAGGTTTGCTTTATTTAATCTGCCATTGCACCGAATGAGTCCCCATTCATCCTGGTATGGTTTCAAATACTTGTAATCTTTCATCGATCGTGAAGAAAAATGAACTGTTTGGTGGTTTCGTATCAAAACTCGTAAGGCTGCTTCTTGCTCTATGGCCGTAACGTATGTTTCTGTTGACATTGTCTGGAGCTCTTGGATATTCTTGTATATTCGGCTGCGTAGTTCCTTCCGTAGTTTCGAGCTGGATCTGCTGATGAATCTGAGGACATATGTGATCGTTCTTTTTGCTCTTCCAAGTCTATTGAATCGCTTCCAGTCCAGTAATTCTTCGACGGGTGTGGTGGCTATTGCTGTAGTTGTGGATACCTGTGCCTTTTGTATACGTTTTTGCTCTATGGTAAAAACGCGTTGATCATTTTGTGAGTGTAGTTCCCTGATGAAGCCCGGTCCTTTCCACCATATGTGGTCTTTTAATTCGATTTTGTTTAGTCCTCTTGTAGCGCAATCAGCGGCGTTTTGATCAGTAGCCATGTATCCAAATTGTACAGGTGTTGGTATATTTTCCACTATTCGGCGTATTTCCTTCATGCGGTTTTTTTACCAACACCCCCGCTGAGTTGTGTGCCTCGTTAGACCGTATCCAATTGAGAGCGATTTCTGAGTCCGAGAGTATAGTTATATTTGTGATAGAAGTGAGGTTGTTTAGCGCTGTATATATTGAATGCGCTAATGGTGCTGCCAATGTTAACGCATTTAGTTCAAGTTTAGGAATTGTGGGACTATCCTTGACCGATGGTAATTTAGACCTTCTTGCGAATAGTTGTGATTCGCCATTGGTAACCATGTAGGCACATGTGGCCATGCAGTGTTTGCTAGAATCCGCGAAGAGAATTAGTCTGGTTGAAGCTCCGATCTAGGCTATTTTTCGTGGGATAAAGGTTTCGAACCCGTTAAAATCATCAACGATCTTTTCCCACTGGTCTTTGTGCTCTTTTGATAGGGGATTGTCCCACGTATAGTTGAAGTCCCAGAGGCTTTGAAGGAATAGCTTCCCTCTCAGTGTGAGTGGCGTTAGCCAACCCATAGGATCGCATATAGCAGCTACCTGTTCGGCGATTGTTCGTTTAGTTAGTTTTGATTTTGCTGGATATCTGCATGAGATAAGGAGTTTGTCTTCTGTGGAACGCCATGGGATCCCTAAGACCTTTTGTAGACTGCTTGATGCCTTATCCTTTTGTGGAATTTGCTGTAGAAAGTCCTTGTCATTTGAAAGAAATTCACGTAAATTCATATTCAAATCCTTGAATATCTGCTTTGTCTCTCTGTATGTCGACACTGCTTGTATTGAGACGGCTGTTAGAATCATGTTATCCACATAAGTGTTACTGATGAGGTGCTCGACGAATTTAGGATCATTTTGACAGTTACTTAAGTGGTGTTTAATTGTTCCTGCTAGAAGGAATGGTGAACAATTCAGTCCGAATGTAATTCGTGTAAATCTGTACACGGTTATGTTCCTTGGCTCCAAAGGTTGAGAGATATCTCGGATCCATAGAAATCGCGCAGCGTCTCTATCTGTTTCGTGCAGCCGTATTTGTAGGAAAGCCTTTTCGACGTCACTAATTATTGCGATATTTCCGATGCGAAGCCGAAGTAAAATGTCGTATATTTTTGGTAGGAACAATGGGCCTTGATGAAGTACATCGTTTAACGAGGGGTGCTTCTTGAGATGAGCAGATGCATCATAAACAGTTCTCAACTTTGTAGTCCCTTTGTTGGGTGTGAGGACCGCTCGATGTGGAAGGTAATGTATTATCGTTCCTTTTATTGGTATTGATTCGTCAACTTCTTCAATGTTTTGATCCAGTTGTTCCTTGATGGTTTTATGATAATTTTCGAACGTAGTTGGATTATGCTTTAGATTCGCTATTGTCGCCTGCAATCGTTTTACTGCGATGCTTTTGTTATCTGGCAACGTGTCTGCTTCATTTTTCCAAGGAAACCGGACATAATAGCCGTCTTCTCGTTTTTCTATTGTTCTCTGGAACTCTTCCCAGATATTGTCGTTCTGTTGCTGTCGTTCTTGTACGCTTGGTCCTGTGTATTCATGGATTCCTGATGATTCAAATGACCAATACCTTTCCCATGACTGCTGTTCGTTATGTGCTGACATGCATGTGTGGCATCCGTCATGAGAGACGCACCCTCTCTTGATGTATTGGTTGGATCGTGGAGAGTTCCTGTCACAAGATATCCCAGTTTGGATGGGATTAACTTCAATCCTGATGGCAATGTTCTTGTTGGAATTAATCCACTATCGAGCATGGTGACTGAGTCTGACAATCCGAGAAGGATCCCTGGATATATAGTGTTAAGATCTGGATTGATCGAAAGTTTGATTTTTTGGTTCTCGAGAAAGTGTGTCCTCTACGTTTAGATTGTATCGTTCAAGAGGTTGTGTTATCTTATCAATTCTAGTTGCCATAATTTCGTGCTCCGAATCAAAGGCATCCCTCGATTTCAACGTAGTGACTCCGCATGTCCTAGTAATTGGCTTTGGGTCGCCGAATGTGTGAATGTTTAATTCGATGGAATCACTGTCTCGTAGTTGAAGGCGATTGGCCAGCGCATTAGTAATGAACGAACGGTCAGATCCTGTATCGAGAATCACCTGCGTTAATTCTCGTCTCGTCTTGCTGGAATTGAATACCTCCGCCTGTTCCGCTAAAATTTGACTGTTGGGTGCGAGTTCTCTCCTAGTATGAAGAACGACAGTGTCCTCCGGCTGTGTCTGATCAGAAGTTACCGTATTGATTTTTGATGAACTTGGTTTCTTCTCCCTTGGAATGGTATTTGGTAATTTCGAAGGTGCCTTTGTTCTGTCACTTGTAGTGTTTCCTCCTTTTCTCGGCTTGTATTCAGTCGGTCCGTACTGATACCTACAAATGGACGTGTGGTGTCCGTGTTTATTGCAGTTTCGACACGGGCCCGCTTTGCAGTCGGGCAGCTGATGTGATGATGACCCGCAATTGTAACAGAGGTTGCGAGTATTAATAATTTGTACTCTTTCATGTTGAGTTCTTATCACCTCACAATCGTTTGGTGAGTGTCCTCCCTTATTGCAGTAGAAGCATGTATATCGTGTAGTTTTGAACGTCCTTTCTGGCTGACTTATATGTTCCGTTCTTAACGTGGGTTTACCCTGCTCTCGGTCCCGTAGTTCTAGTTCCACTCTTATGTAGTCTTTGACATCTTTTAGCAGTTCGCATGTTCGTGCCTCTTCTGCTCTCTGTCGTCTTTTTTGCCGAGCATGCCTTTGAATCTCTTTTGTGAATTTCTCTAACAGTAGTTGCTGTAGGAGCAGAGTATCGATGAGTTCCCCTTTTTGTTGCAGTTGAACAACTATCGAGTGAAGGGTTTCACACAATTTTTCCTGATCTTCGAGGCGTTCAGTCTTTGCTTCTGTTGTACGTAGTCTACGTAACAAATCACGGACGAGAGCTTGTTTGTTGTCGTACTTTTCTTTCAGATGCTGTATTACTATCGGATAAGTACTTTGCGATACTTGATACTGTATGACGCATTGTCTTGCTTCTCCCTGAAGGGCGTCCAGCAAGTAGGTCATTTTTTGGAGGTCGTCCATCCGGCGAGAATGCACATGCCATCATGGCAAAAGCATCCAACGCGGTCTGGACGCTGTTTCGTTCGTGTTCAATGTCCGATTTTGCGTGTTCTATCTTCCTTTGCCGTCCAGTAATGTACTCGATTCTGCTAGTTTGTTCGGACGGAAGGTTTACTGGCATGTCTATTTCATTCTGATCGCTATTTAAGGTGGATACGAGGCGATTGATCGCCTTTGTTAATTGTCCTTGGCGAGCGGACAGGATCGTTGCCATTGTTTTTTCTTTTGAGAATTAATGTAACGTACTTGTAGGTAGATTCCCGTGTTGAGGTTTAGTTCGTTTCGATGAGCGTTTCTTGCTCCTTGAAGTTTGAATCGATTGGTGCGTGTTCCTTTGGGTTCGAGTCGACTTGGTCAACACACCAATGTAACGGCTCACAGCTCAAGGATGTGAGGGGCGTTCGCGAGGGTGCGCAAGAACTATGAACCGTTTGTGAGGTACCTGTGAGCAATGAACGTATTTAACTTATGTTAACACGGATAACATAATTACACGAAAAACAACGATAACATTAGTGTATCAGCGATTCAAGGGCTAAGGATTACATATACTATCATTATGACCTAAGCAAATGAATCTGCTAGGTAAAATCAACCGGGGTGGAATTAATGATGGAGCTGGCGATGACGGTCTTCACGGCGTCATTGGGTCAAATGGCGGGACTACTGGGTGTGTCCCATGGCCAGAACGGGATATGGACGCAGAGGACGCGCGCGACGTTGGAGCCACGCGATCCCCATCGATCCGTGGACTGTATTAGTTATGCAGATAGAGAATTCTCTATCTGATTGAGGAATTCTCTATATGGTGTCCATATAATTTGCTTGATGAATAGTGAAATCAAAGTTAGTACAGAACCTGCTTGCTATAACTACAGAAGGATCCTAGAGGAAAGAAGATAGGACAATAAGATTATGACGTTAGTTCTGAAGAAAATTGCTTACCAGCCACAAGTGAGTAGTCCAAATCATATCCATAAGTTTTGCATCATCAACTTCATCAATACGGACGTTGATTCCCTACAATGCATACATGCTTGTGTGTATTTGGAAATGATGGAAATCACGTAATGTTGTTCGCAAGATAAGTGAGTTAACCTTAGGACTTATTCGTACAAACGGTATGCTCTGGGCAACACAGCGCTCTTGTGCCATTTCGACAGTGGTTAGGTCTAATCCAACAACCTAAAGTACGTAACATACTCGGAGACTTACTTGGATATTTGGATGGCTCGTCTTCACTGTTTGTGCGGGCCCCACCATAATTCCACTTTTCGGAATTTTGCTGGTTTAGCTATTGTGGTTCCCAAGAGCACCGAGGTCTGCCAACCCAAAGTCTGCCCCAGGTCGTCACCACCACGGGCAGTCGTCGCCCTTGTGGATCAAAGGGATGGACGGAAGTACACAATATAGTGGTGAGAAATTCATGCTCATAGTTTTCGTTGCGAGTATGATGATTATGTAGCCGTCAAAGAGAACTACGTGAGGAAAACAAACTGAAAGGAATATTCACAGGAATGTCTAAGTTACAGCATCACCTTTACTACATGCAATCAACAAATGGCTATGTACCATGGTTAAAGGAGAATGGGGAAGGTTTCGGTGACCGGCCTCTCATACTCCATTGACCATAAACTTTTATGGTTTCTAGACCAGCTCACTCTCTCCAGGTCACACGCTTGTAGGTGGTCAAGGCGATTGCACCACTTCTATTGCGCCGACTGTTTCGAACAGTGAGATCCCCACAAACTTTTTGGGTAGAACATCCTAGGAGACCTTATAGGAGACGTTCATCCAACTAAACTGAATTGGTGAAAAAAGAGTTTCTCAACATGCTTTTTATAACAGACTCTAGAATTACTTGCACTCATTTCGTGCCAAAGTCCAACGCCTGATGATTACCTGCTCCAAGATCAGCGTGCTCAGATGCGCCACGTTCCTTGCTTTATCCTTAAGAGTTGTACCGCTATGATATTTCCGTTCGGTCTGCGCCGGTTCACCCGTGCCAACGGAAACAACACCGGCAAGGTGAACTTTGTTATCGTGCTTTGAGAACGTGTCGACTTCCTAGAATCCTCTACGATTGTTTCACTAGAACAGCACTTTAGAGTAATAAAACTATCCATTTTTAGGGGATGCTACGTGACCGCTCAAAACAGATCTGTCTACAGGCTACATACATAAAAAAATATAACAAGACTTGCTCTGTCTGGAGTGTATTTAAGGAACTTTCAAATTTATTAGTGCAAATAGCACGAAAATCTCCGTTGGCCAACATCGTGCAACAGAGCCCATGGGACACTAACAACCTCACAATTTCGTAATGGCGTTTTTTATTTCGTCCATTGTTCTCAAAACCTACAATCTAGTAATCTTAGCATTGTTCAATACGTCAGTGCGTTCTTCTTGACCACACACGAGGTTATTAATAACAAGATTTACTAACAAATTATTTCAGATAAAATTATTTCATTAGTTTTATAGGTAGCTTATCAGATGATTATTAGGTTTTCGGATTTTCCTTTTGAACATATTAATAAGTTATTATCTAGGACTGTTTACTGGTCGACGTTTCGCAGGCTTCCTTTTCTTCAGAGTCTGGGAGAGACAAATTGACAAGCTCTAAATCCTGCTCCATAGAGGTCATATATTATTTTGGAGTTAAATGCTATTTCCAAGATCAAAACTAGGAATCTTAGGATCATGATTATTCCTAGGATTCCTGCTGATATTGTTCCTAGCTTGATGAATCGTCCCCATACAGTTGACATCACACGTGATTTTAACGATTCTATATGCTCGTCGGTTATTAATTGATCTACTTTGATATTGTCCATTTGGGAGTGATGGCCCATGACTCCTTTGATTATTGTGTTTCCCACTGCCTGCCGTTCTACTGGAAACATTAACTGATTTACCATTGCCTCTACCTCTGCTTGTGAATATATTCCTCCTACAGCAATCGTCCTTGGTGCTACCTATGTAAAGATGTTTTCTCGAGTTAAACTTAGAGTGTCAGGTGGTTACACTGTATGAATTTCTTTTCCCGTTGCTATCCACGACTCGAATATGTGATACTTTGGCATCAGTACGGGATTACAACTTATCTCTGTTCCTTGTCTCGTGAGGACGTGGGTTCGTGGGAGCATGAATTTTGATTGGTTGTTTGCTATTACGGGTAGTTCTAGGTAGCAACGGTCCACTCTACGTATTGTGACCTCGACCATGGGGCACTTGGATATGTAGATCACCCAGCCCATTACGTTGGCAATGTGTCCTAGGTCTTCCATATATAAATACGCAAATTCATTCAGGTTTAGTGACGCGATTGCTAACTGTGTTTCGCGTGTACGTCGCTCCATTTCGCATCTTTGTGACTCGATTTTGTTACTTAGAGCGTTGAAGTTTCGTGCCCAGTTGCGGTCAAAATATACGAACTTTGCGTTCACAACATTAAATCGAATATTAAAGGAGAGACCTTTGATTTTTGAAAGAAAAATCCTCCTTCTTGGTGGCGAGCTATAACTAATCCTGAGTGTTCTGTTGTTCACGCTGGTATAGCACATCCTTGATAAGGACCGGTTCGACGTAGGGCGAACACTTTATCGTCTTGTACGACTGTGTGTATTATGCTTGGTGGTTGCAAAGGGTCTTCATGTGTTGTGTTCAGGATTACCGCCAGACCTTCGTAAATTACAGCATGACGCTGGGGTGAGCATCTATTGATCGGTACTTTCCTCCAATATGCTTCCCCTGCTTCGAAGTCAATGCATGTTTCCGCAGACCATTTGCATACTAATCCTCCAGGCATATGTATTTGGTCGTTTTCTGTGTCAGCGGAGGCTTTCATTTGTTTAAGACTGATTTTGGTTGTTGCTTGAACTATTACTTCGTGCCACGATCCGAACTGATCACTATACGTGATTCCTTTGCAGGTTCCATCTGGTCCTATGTGACCTGCAAGTGCTACTGAGTGCATGGTTACTGTATCTTTCTTAATGCCGGATAATTTTATGCTGTTTGCTAGCCTTATTACGCCGACGTTCCACAGTTCTTCGCATGCCGCTCGCCGTAATTCATGTATATAATCGGCTATTCCTCCCATTATCTCGCTTGTATGGCTGTTCATCCCGCAATAGTGGATGTGGCGCCTGATTCGAACTTTGCACATTGTTACTAGAACGTCGAGTTTTTCTACAATCTGTATCAGTTGGATAACTGCTTGGCTTTGTGTTGTTGTTTCGGGATGTGGGTTACATGGAATGATGGAAGTACGATCTATGATATTAACTCCACTCATTGTGCAGTCGTACGTTATGAATGCATGGCACCCTATGCTTGTTAAAAGCATTATGGTCAAAGCGAGGTGAGTGAGTGGCATAATGTGCTGGAAACTTTTCTTAATAGACGCGATTAGGTTGCTACGTGTTGTAGCTTTCTTGTCTATTTGATCAATCGGTGTTACTTCGTTTTTATTTTCTTGTGGGCGGTATTCTTGAGGACCTTCTCTCGATTTTTAGTTTTGTCTAGATGGTGAGTCGTGTGCCATTTTGGGAGTAAGTGCCGTTGTGCTAGTGCGTGTTCTTGGTCGGAGGTTGTAGCGGTGTGTTAAGTTTTGTTCTGCTTCATTTGAGTCTTCATTTGGAGGATCCTTTATATTTGCTCCTGTATCTGGCGCTTGTTGTTCTTCTACTTCTCCTATTTCTAACGGGATTAAAAGGTTAACAGGTCTTCGAATAATTCTTTGACTGGGTAATCTGACCTCTGCTTCTCTGATTACTCCACTTTCTGATTGTTGCAATTTGATTACACGGCCCATTTTCCATGTATTCCGAGGTTGAACTGGCTCATGAATTAAGACCACTGTATCCACGGTTGGAATGCGTGGTGTGCCTCTTTTGTTATTGATGTTCACTTTGTGTGATTCTCGAAAACTCTTGAGATACTGTTGACTCCAGATGGCCCAGTACTGTTCTATTAACTCGTGACTAGATAGTAGAGCCAGTTTGGCTTCTTGCATTGTGCGAAGTTTACTCTCTTCTTCTGATGGGATGTAGTCTTTGTCATTGTGATGTTCTCTAATGGATTCAAACGCGTATGCGATTGTCATGTCACGTTGAATAAAGTCGATAGGTCGCAGTATTACGAGACCATCTGGCTCCTCCTCGATATATGTGAGTGGTCTGTTATTGAGACTTCCTTTGACTTCTACTGTAAGTGTTTCTAACTCCAGCTCCATTGGGACTTTTTTTTGCAGGACTTTGTAAAGGTAGTGTTTTATGGATTTTATGAGCCGTTCGTAAAATGCCCCTGCCACAGGGCATAAGGCGTTACTGTCTTCCACGTAATTCCCTTTGTGGCCACAGTCTTTGCGAACATAGAGTCTTCTATGATTGGGAGGATGGCAGTTCGTAGCATTTGTTCTCCTAGAGAGAAGTTTGGTGCGTTGTCCGAAGTGATAGTGGCGGGTACCCCTCTTCACGCAAAGAATCTTCGGAGCGCTAATAGTAGTGCATTTGTTGACATGTTGTGCACCAGTTTGAGGTGAAGCAGTCTTGTGGTTGCACATGTGATGATTATCCCGTAGATTTTTCTTGCATTTTCGTCGCGCTTACTGACAGTGGACCGAAGTAATCTATTCCCACATGTTCGAATGGGTGTGATAGTACCACTCGCCCACCTGGGAGATCTTCCATTGTTGAATATTTCTATGGCAGGCTACTCATTTTTTGACAGGGTACGCAGCGTCTTATGATTTTTCTTGCCAGGCTCCTTAATTTGTCAACCCAAAATCTTTGTCTAACTCTGGCCATTGTTTGGCTTGTACTGCAGTGGAATGGCAAGTGTGCGTCGTGTACGATAATTTCCATCATGACAGTGGACCGAATTTATATGTATTGTTTATAACAAGCGTAGGTTGGCGTGCTTCGATTAGCATATTAGCATTTCATGGTCGTCCTCTACAACGAATGGTTCCATCGTTGTCTTTAAAAACATTCAATTTCGTAATAGTTCTTTCCGGGAGGGATGTGACGTGAACATGTTGATGATTCCGGACTAATACTTTAAGTGCGGTTTTGTACTCTGGTGCTGTAACGTAAGGTTCTAATGATGTTGCATTGAGTTCTGGAATGGTCTGACGAATTCGTTCTCTTAACTCGGGTCGTAGCTTTGATGTTATTTTGCTTATGTACCTAAGTACATAGGCTACTGTTCGCTGGGCCGATAAAAGTTGGTTATACTGTGCCCAAATCAGTAGCTCCTCTTCGGACGTTCCGACAGTGAGTATGGTGGTGTGATTCTCGTGCTTGCTGTTATTGGGCGCTAGCGTGAACAGACGGGCGTTGTGGTAGTTCAATGTTCGCCTAATGAGTTCAGGTCCTTTCCACCACATGTGGTTTTCTAGTTCGTATTTGTTAAGTCCTCTAGTTGCACAGTCTACCGGATTGTGGTTAGTATCTATGTAGCCAAATTGAATTGATTTGGGTAGATCTTCCACTATTTGTCGTATTTCCTTTACTCTGTTTTTTATTAGTGTTCCGTGGGAGTTTGTGGGTTTTTGGGATCTTATCCAGCTAAGAGCTATCTCAGAATCTAAGAAGATTATTATATCTGTGATGATGGTGTGGTTTTTTGAGCTTCGTAAATAGATTGAGCTAACCGCGTTGCCATTGTTAAGGCGTTTAATTCGAATTTTGGTATAGTAGGGTTATCCTTGCGTGAAGGTAGCCTGGACTTTCCCATAAGTAGCTGTGATTCACTGTGTGAGACTAAGTATGCACAAGTGGCCATACACTGCTTACTTGCGTCTGCGAAAAGAACTAGTTTTGTTGGGACACCAATTTGGATGATTTTTCGTGGGATATTGACTTCATATCCATTGGTATCTTCTACTATTTTGTTCCACTGTTGTTGGTGTTCATTTGAAAGTAATGAATCCCATGTGTATTCATAGTTCCATAGGTGTTGGAGGAACAATTTTCCTTTCAGTGTAAGTGGGATGATCCATCCCATGGGATCGTAAATAGAGACTATTTGCTCGGCTATGGCTCGTTTTGTTAGCTTCGGTTTTTCGGGATATTGACATGAGACAAAGAGTTTGTCTTTTTGAGAATTCCACTTTATTCCCAAAATTTTTTGGATGGTGTTCCTTGACAATTTCTCTTGAGGAATTCGTTCCAGGAGTTGTTGATTGTTGGTAACAAATTCGCGGAGATTCATACTCAAATCGCGGAATATTTGCGTCGATTTTCTATATGTCTTTACTGCCTCGTGTACTGATGTAGCCGTAAGGATAACGTTGTCTACATATGTGTTGTTGGTGAGATCTTCGAACAACTTTGGGTCATGTAAACAGTTGTTTAAATGATATTTGATTGTTCCTGCTAAGAGAAATGGTGAGCAGTTCAGTCTAAAAGTAACGCGTGTAAATCTATAGGTAGCCATATTCTGTTGTTCGAAGGGTTTTGAGATGTCGCGCATCCAAAGGAATCGTGTGGCATCTCTATCTTGTTCGTGCAGTTGTATTTGTAGAAAGGGTTTTTCGTCATCGCTAGTAAATGCGATGTTGCCAAAGCGGAATCGAAGCAAAATGTCGCATATTTGAGGCAGGAAATTGGGTCCTTGGTCGTCGTAAACAATTCTTATTTTCGTTGTTTCTTTGTGCGGCGTGAGCACGGCGTGATGTGGAAGATAGTGTATAACTGAACCGTCCGATGGTTTAGATTCGTCAACTTCTTCGATGAATTTTTGATGTAATTGACTTACAATTGTTTCATAGTACTCTTGCAGCATCTTGGGATCCTATTTAAATTTTGTGATTATTCCCAGGATCGACTTTCTATTAACCTCGGCATTGGAATATGAATGCGTCGTTTTCTTGTTCAGCAATCCCGAGGTTTTTAAACAGCATACATTTACTTCCATAAAAAAAGATAATACAATACAACACTAGCTGACGTTTCGGCAGTATCGCCTTCCTCAGAGCTGCTTTTTCGTGACTTCCAATGAGGAAGTTTAGAACAGCTGATTGTGATTATTGCTTGTAATCGTTTTACTGCCATGGCTTTATTGTCTAGTAGAGTTGTTACATCGTTCTTCCACGGAAGAAGTACATAGTATCCGTCTTCTCTTTTCTCTATCGTTTCTTGAAATTGTTTCCAGATTGCTGTATTCTGTTGCTGTGGCTCTTGTCTGTTGGATCCCATGAATTCGTTATCAGCGGGTGACTCGAATGCCCAAGGATTTTCTTCCGATTCGGTTATCTCGTAGAAGGTTTGTGTGGTATTGGCTGTGGGAACTATATCAGTGTCCGGTTCATTTTGTTGCTTGTATGTGCCTCTTGTTATAAGGTTGCCGAACCTCGATGGGATTAGTGTCAATCCCGACGGCAATGTATTATTCAGGGGTAGTCCTTTATCTAATACTTTTGTCACATCTCGACTACCGAGTAGGAATTTAGGATGAATGGTGCTGCAGGTCGGATCTATTGAAAGAGGAATGTCTCGCAATATTATGGAGGTGATTCTGTATTTCTTTGTATCTGCTTCGGAATCTTCAAACTTGTGAATTGCTAACTCGGTTGAGTACGCATCTTTTAATTGCAAGGTCTTGGCCAAATCATTAGTAACAAATGATCGATCGGCCACTGTGTCTGGTAGCACTTCTACTAGCTCCTTTTTGGTCTTGTCTGGGTTGAGTACTGTTGCCTGTGACGCCCAAATTTGCACTCTGGATTCATATTGCTTTATAGTATGAAGAGCAACGGAATGTTCGCCTTGTGTCTCATTGGAAGTCACTGTATTGACCGTGGGCAGGATCGTTCTTCTCGCTTTAGCTAGGTTGTGCGGTTTTGGTTTTTCTCTTGGACTTTTTTCCTCTTTCAGCGGTTTAGGTTCACTTGGTAGGTGTTGGTATTTACAAATGGAAGTATGGTGTCCGTGCTTGTTACAATTTCGGCACGGACCTCCTTTGCACTCGGGCAAGCGGCGAACTGAGCAACCGCAATTGTAGCAAAGATTGCGATCTTTTATCACTTTTACTTTTTCCTGTTGAGTTTTTATTGTAGTACAGTCGATTGGTAAGTGTCTTGTCTTGTTACAATTGAAACGTGACTGCGGTTTTTTATGAGTGTTCTCTGATGACTTGTGGTCTCTCCCAGTGAATATCGACGTATTGTTGCGGATGTTTCTTGGTACTGAAGATTTGCCTAGTTGGCTTTCCATTGTCAGTTCTTGGGTTATGAAGTCGTTGATTACTTTGAAGAGTTCTTCTGTTTTGAGTGTTTCGTTGATTCGGCATTGCCGTATTTCTCTTAGAGTGTGTGTTGGATTTTTTCCGTGAACTTTTTCAGGAGTTGTTGTTGGAGATACATGTTATCAACTTGCTCTCCTTTATAACGTAGGTGGCATACCTTCGAGTGGAGAGTTTCGCACAATATTTCTTGGTCTTTTAGTCGCTCGCTATTTGCCTGTGCTCTGTGTGGCCTGCTCAATAATTGATTTATGAGAGCTTACTTGTTGCCATACTTGGCCTTTAGATGATCTATAACTATAGGATAGGATTCTCGTGAAATTTCATATTGCTTGATGAAAGTTCTAGCCTTCCCATGAAGAGAGTTTAATAGATAGTTCATTTTGAAATGGTCGTCTATCTGCGTTGAATGGACGGAGTGCTCAAATGCACGCCAAAATGCTTTCTATTCCCATATATCACCGCTGAATTTGGGGATAGGGATGGGTGGTAGTTTTGTCACCGGTGGAGCAGTATGTGAGTCATTCTTAGCGTTGTTTGTTGTGCTGTCTAGTTTATTCTTCAGATCGAAAAGATTGGAGAGGTAGTCTTCTGCCTTATCGAGATGTTATAGTGATCTGTTCACGTTTAGTTTTATGCCTTCCTTTAGTTCCTCTGGTATTGGAGTTTGCAGGTCGAAGTTGTCCGCCGCTTTAGTGTAACTGTCCAGTGCTTCCTGGAGGCTGTCTCGGTCCTTTGTAATGGCCGATGTCGCTTGTTTTATAGCGTCTTTCCATGCAACGAGATATTCCGTTCCTTGAGGTTCGTTAGAGGGGATATCTACTGGAGAGTTTACCTCCTGGTCGCATTTGTTAAATGAGGATTTGAAGCGGTTAATGGCCTTTGTTAGTGCGTCCAGGAGAGAAGAGAGGGTGTTCGACATTTTTTTCCCTTTTTTATTTTGATACATGGCAAACAAACGTACTTGCACCTAGGTTTCTCTTCACCTAGGTTGTCCGAGCTGTTGTTTGATTCCTTGAGCGATGCTTGGTCGCTTGAAGTAGAGATAACAGATACAGTGAAATATCAGAATAGGAGAATATTGGGTGGGATGGCCAATAAATTGGCCTAGTGGTAGCGTTGAGCGTTGTGTTGAGTTGAGCGTAGAATTCGACTCGGATGTGCCAATGCACCCATTTGTGCTAGTTGGCCAGTGGATTAGGGAGTTAATCGGATTTGTCTTTTGTCCGCCAACTGTGCATCGAATGCTTGACTTTATACGAATTCCCCACGCCGGACTTTTCTCCGTAACTGCCTTGAACAACCTCGAGTTTGGGTTATAACAGTTTATAGCAACAATAACGGTACAATAATAATGTGATATTTGACGATGTGTAAGCTGGGTGGATACGAGCGAGAGTGAAATGAGAACAAGTGACACACTTGAAGGAAGCTAGGCGGACACTGGAGTTGGAGCACTGAGGAATTGAGGGACTGGAAGATAAGCACTGGGGGTTGGAACCCAGGCACTGGTAGATTGGAAGACAGACACTGGTCTCTATGACTGCTGGTGCTCCTTATATTCTGCCTTTTACACTCCTCTAGGTACGCACAGAGCACAAAAGCACAACGGCGATGATTTTGAAGTGAATGTGCGAATCCTAGCGCAGGAATCGAAAACATCAACGCACAAAACTCTTGAGGCGCTTTGGATAAATTTCAAAAATCCAAAGATGAACCGGAAAGACGAATGCCTCACTATCACGCGTGACCTGGCGCTCTATTTCAAAATGATATTTTGACCCTGGAGTGTGCCTTGTTCGCGACCCCACGTGAACTAGGTGTGGGCCAGTCCCACGCGTAACATCACGGTGAGTGGCCTTTCTGTTCAATATGGCGTCTGTTTGAAAGTTTGATCTTCATTAATACTTTAACCTTCTTTTCCACCGAATAATAAAAAGTATTCTAACATAAAGTACGTCCAGGCTCTGAAGAAGGCGAAGTCGCGGAAACGTCAGCCATCGATCAATAACATCAAAAACAACGACAACGACAACGAAGACCTTTACCAACCTCGCGTTAGCTTAGGAAGATCAATTTATAAGAGATGAAATAGCTTGTACAAAGGCTTCTACCGAAAGTACATGTCGAAACGGTCTTAAGACTTATACATTATGAATGGAAAGATTTAAGATAGTTGTAAGCAAATAGTTAGTATAGGAAACATGTGATATTATAGAGAATAGGAACTATTTAAGGAATAGTTACTATAAATAGCGCGTTCGTTCCCCACCGAAGACACCTGCGGTCCGGAGTTTTGCAAATATCTCAGCAACATTGAAGTTATATTTCGCAATATATATCCTGCCATTATAAAGAGTAGGCAGTAAATAATAAGTTAAAATAGTCATTGATATATTTGCAGTAGAGAACAGCCAGAGACCGAATATGGGGGTTTCAACTTTATGTATGAATGCAATGGAAGGGTTTGCTGCCACTCGCCGACCCATTGTCAACCTTTTCATTTGTGCGTGATATTTTCTGGACCATTTAAAAACTGAGTAGTTCAGGTATTCTTTCAAAAGGGCCATAAGCTACTGAATCAAGAGGCCATATTTGTTTATTGCTTCTTTGTGATGCACAAGGGAGCTCCCAGATGGCTTGAATTGCGAAACTGTTCGACACGTTTGTATAAATGGCGATAATGTCGAGGGACTCCACTACGTACGCGCTGTTAGGACGCGCGTTACGTATGCGATAACAGGAATATCTGAGTGTTCGTAAGATGAGATAGAACGTTCTTTAAGAACTGGGTAAGTATTAGGGTTGAAAACCATGCTTAAGGTTAAACAAAACCAGAAAACCAAAACCTATCTGTTTATCTGCTAATGGAAGGGTGCGTATGGCACAGTGGTTGAAGGCGCCCTGCAAGACAGATGAAATGGACCCCTGCGTCCACGGCTCACTAAGCCTTCCATCCCTCCGGGATCGACAACTTCGTACTAGATTTGTCTGGGAGGATAGCAGCACTGGCTCGACACATCGGCAGGCCACCGCGAGTCATTGCAGAGCACAGATATGCATTCAAGCATCTCCAAATGATTAATGAAGACGAATGCATGCCGCATCCCTCAAGGATTGATCAACGCCAAGAGCTTTATCCTTTACCCTCTTCATCTGTTAATGAGAGGTCTAACCTTGAATAATGATAGATTGGTAGACGCGAGATCATCAGTTGATACTAACTTATGCGTTTTAATGAGTAATTACAAGAGAAGACAATTTGGCAATTCAACTTTGAGTTGAGAGATAACTGATGGACTTGGAACCACAATGATGCTGAGATTTTTACGAAATTCAGACCCCACGCCAGATTCGAACCTGCCATTACTCTGGAGCTCACGTGTCACTCAGTGCACCATCGAGGTTCGTGCTCTGCCTTTCTCTCAGCCAGTTTTCTGCCGAAACAGTGCCATTAGCAGTCACACGTCAACGGAAATGATCTGGGGAGCACAAATCGCCGTTGAACCCAGTTAAACCGAGGTCGCAGTTAAAATCACAATGCATAACTTTATTTACTGCCCATTATGTTTTATGGCAGGGTATTATCCGAATTTCAACCAGAATGGTGCGGAGACATTTGGAAAATTCAAATCCCAGGCCAAATTCGAACCTGTGATTACTTTTCCAGGAGCTCAAATGTTATCCACTGCGCCACTGAGGCCCTTGCTCAGCCGTTCTCCCAGACAATTTTGATGGATTTAGATCTGCCGCCTTTGTCACCTTGAACTATTCACTATTCAATTTTTGGTATTGCTTTTTGAAACCGACTTTCCCTGAACCTCGGTATCACTAATCAATATGTATTCTTTCTTTGATGAGCTTACACGAGGTTGATAATGATGTTTATTTTCGGCTAACGTTTCGACGTCTTCGTCTTCCTCAGAGCCGATGATCCGAGTCGATGGTCCTCGCTTGTTATTCGCCTCGACATGGCAGCTTCGCCTTCGTGTCGGGTTAGGTCTTCTTCAGTGATCCATCTCCTCGAATGAGGCATCCTTACTCAGTGATGCCCTTTTATACACGATGCTGATGGTCGATATAATGATAATGTCCGGTGATAACAACTTGTTTTTCTTCCGGACATACATCATTGCGCACATCCATCACTGAGTGAGGATGCCTCATTCGAGGAGATGGCTCACTGAAGAAGACCTAACTCGACACGAAGGCGAAGCTGCAACGTCGAGGCGAATAACAAGCGAGGACCATCGACTCGGATCATCGGCTCTGAGGAAGACGAAGATGTCGAAACGTTAGCCGAAAATAAACATAATTATCAACCTCGTGTAAGCTTATCAAAGAAAGAATACATATTACAGTAACTGCCACGACCGACTTTCTATTAACCTCGGCATTGATCAAGTGATTTTCTTCGTATTTTTGTTGAGCAAACGCGAGGTGTTATTATTCTT